GACAGCCTTGGAGACCCTGTGGGCAGTTCCACTCTGTCCTCTAGGGGCGCTGTGGGTCAGAATTAACTCCACCACCACCCCTGCTGCCATCTAGTGGTATCCCACTCATTGCAAACCCTCCTTAGGTTTCTGAGGCAGTATCACTATGGAAGTAGATTGATCAACCTTCCTTCCGAGGATTGGCTGGTGGATTTGAACCAGTCTTCTGGTTAGCAGTCAAATGCCTTAGGCACTATGCTACCAGAGCAGTTTGGTTTGAGTTTTGCTTCATAAAGACTGACAGCCTTGGAGACCCTGTGGGGCAGTTCCACTCTGTCCTCTAGGGGCGCTGTGAGTCAGAATTGACTCCACAACAATGGGTATGGTTTGGGCTTTGCTTCTGTAAAAACTGTTGTTAGGTGCGGCCCAGTCAGCTCTGACTCATAGCCAACGTATGTACAACAGAACGAAACACTGCCCAGTCCTGCTCTGGCCTCACAATCCTTGCTATGCCTGAGCCCATCACTGTACCTACTGTGTCAGTCCGTCTTGTTGAGGAAGAAGTCTTCCCCTGTTTCATTGACCCACCACTGTACCAAGATGATATCCTTCTCCAGGGAATGGTTCCTTCTGACAACATGACCAAAGCAGGTGAGGCAAAGTCTGCCCAGTCTCACTTACAAGGAGCATTCTGGCTGAACTTCTTCCAGGACAGATTTGTTAGTTCTTCTGTGAGTCCATGGTATTCTCAGTATTCTTCACCAACACCACAAGTCAAAAGCATCAACTCTTCGGTCTTCCTTATTCATTGTCCAGATTTCATGTGCACACGAGGCAAATGAAAATACCATGGCTTGTCTTCAAACTAATACATCAGGCAGTGTTTCACTGCTATTGGTAAGGTTTTCACTGTCTTCAAAGAGACATCTTTGCTCTTCAGCACTTTAAAGAGGTCTTTTGCAGCAGATGTGCCCAGTGCAACACGTTATCTAATTTCTGGACTGCTTCCGTCGGTGTTGATTGTGGAACCAAGTAATATGAAATCTTTGAAAGGTCAATCTTTCCTCCATTGACAGCCTTGGAGACCCTGTGGGCAGTTCCACTCTGTCCTCTAGGGGCGCTGTGGGTCAGAATGGACTCCAGGGCAGAGGGCTTGGTATGTTGCAGCCTGGTTCACTCTCCCCTCCCAGGCATGCCTGTCCCTTGTTCTTGCCGCCTGTGGCTGGCGTCAGCCTCAGCTCAGTACACAGACCCAGGGGGTAATGAGCTGCTGGTCCTTCTGCCCTTTGAACTGTTTCCGGGACTTTCAGAAGGAGCCCCCCGCCCCCCACAGGAGGGCCAAGGAGTCTTAGAACAGGCTGACCTGGTTGATATGAAACCCTGTGGGTGCTGGCAGGACTGGAGGGTCACTGGTGTCAGCAGCCCAGGTTTTTGGGAACCAGGCCTCCCTGTGGAAAGCAGAGACGGCATCTTCAGAGAGGACCTTTCTTAAGACTTCACCCTGAAACTGTCAGAAAGAGCAGCAAGTGGGTGGGGCTGGAGGTGATCCTGCTGTGCCCTTGGGTGCCTAGTGGCCCTTTCTCTGGGACAGGAGGCAGGGGACGGAGCTGGGTGGAGGCAGGTTCGGCATGGACACCTGTGGGCTGGGAGCCCCTCTGCGGCCCTGCCTCACAGTGCTGCCCTAGTGCCAGGGACCCAGTGCTCGGCTCTGGGGCAGGGCCGCTTCCTGGGCACTCCAAGGCCAGGTCCCCAGGGGCCCCTGCAGGAGTTCTGCAGCTGAAAAAGCTTCCGAGGGCCCCCGGGACAACAGAGCCCCTCTGCCCATCCTCCCCATGGTCCGCACCTGGACTCTTGGGCCGTCTGAACCAGCACTGTCTGCAGACATGAAGCTAAGAGTCCCAGAAGCAGTCATGCGGGCCACAGTGGCCTTCTCAGGGGCCTGGCAGCCCCTCGCCACACTCGGACTTCAGGACTTGTACCACCCCACTCCTCCCTCCCTCCGTCCCTCCCTCCATCTTCATTTTCTTTCCTGAGTGCAGCTGTGTGTCAGGCACTGTTCTAGACACTGGGCAGACAGCGGAGAGGAGAGCTGCCCCGCCCCAGGCCTCCCATGGTCGCAGATGGCCCGTGGAGAAGGCCCGTGATGAGGAAAGAGGGAGCGCAGGACAGCCTGCTGTAGGGGACCAAGCAGTTGTTGTTGTTGTTGTTGTTTGCCATCGAGTGGGCCCGACTCATAGCGACCCCTCCTTGGGTTTCCGAGGCAGTATCACTATGGAAGTAGGATTGCCCAACCTTCCTTCCGAGGAGGGGCTGGTGGGTTTGAACAGCCAGCCTTCTGGTTAGCAGTCAAGTGCTTTAGCCACTATGCTACCAGAGCTCCCGGGACCAAGCAGAGGTGGTTTAAACAGCCACGGGGCAGAAGGGCTTCCGGGAGAGGGCACAGCAAGGGTGAAAGCCCCACACGGGCCTGTGGGTGAGCAGCGTGGCCAGGGAGGGGCCGATGGGGGGATTTCCTCTGACATGGAGGGGACCTGGTTTTTCACGAGACCTTGTGGAGGGGGCAGGAGGGAGCGCACGCTCGGCCTGGTGGGCGGTGGTGGGTTTGGGACCTCTGGAGGGTAAGGGAGGAAGAATGTGGAGCCTGGCCACAGCGTGAGAAAAGACGACAGGTCCAGCCGGCCTCCACCCGGGCGCGCCGGCTGGCAGGACGAGCCGCGCCGCGCGGGCCGGTCCGCCTGGCGAGACGAGGAGCTGGGCCGGCCCGGCGCAGCCTGCGAGGCCCGCGGGGCTGCGAGTGGAGCGGCACTGGAGCGGAGGGGCTCCGCCGGCTGTGCCCGGGTGAAGAGGCCGCGCTGTGGTGACTGGGGTCTGGACGTCCCGCGCGCATGGGACCCCCGGAGGGGCCGGGCCGGCGTGGCCGTCCGCGGAGCAGGCGCTGGGAGTCGCCGCGGCACCACCCGAGCTTGCGGGGAGGGCGTGGTATTTTGGTTTCTGACAAGTTGGTGGGAAGTGTCAGTCCATCTTGTTGAGTGCGTC